GCATGAAGTCCAGGGTTCAATTCCCTGGAAGTCCACATCCTTTGGAGATCTTTATTGGGCTTCTAACTCAGTGGTAGAGTGCTTGCTTAGCATGGGTTTACAATCAATACGATTTCCCTTCGCTTGCATGAAGTCCAGGGTTCAATTCCCTGGAAGTCCATACCTTCCTTTTTGTCATTTGCAGCATTGTGTGAATCCTTTTTTGTATCTCAAACAGCGTTTTTGCCCGCCGCCTTCTGCTGAAGTTGAAATGAGAAATGGAACTTGTCAAGAGACGCAGCCTTCTTCGCAGCGGTTGCCTTTCGGACCACACGCCCACGTTTACTCGTTGAAGCGCCCGCAGCGGCTGCGTCGTTGCAAAGATGTCGGCAGGGCATCCCTCTGGGTCTACGCTTTATGCAGGCATCTTCAAGACGCCTGCGGGAGATGCGATAGCGTCGTCGAAGGTTACCGCCCCGCCTTCCTCGGGCGCATCTCTTGCATTGGAGGCAGGTCGACCCTCACTAGGAGGCGATTCAGCCGCAGCCACCGGCTTGACGAATTCTGCAGTTCCGTCATCATCAGGTACGGCAGTTCATGATACCTTGCTGTTCGAGATACCCCGTGGCTCACGCGATGTGGCCTTTCCTTTACACGCACATTGATCTGCGCGGTGTCAAGGCCAGCCGTGGTCTGCGGCTCTGCGGTTCGCACCCCGCAGTAAAAGTGGATCTGGTGCGGCTGGCAAGCCCAAGCCCAAAGTGCTCGCCTCCTCTGCTGTTGCTACGACTACCCTACCTGCGCCACCGGTCGCTGTGAGCGCAGCGGCACCCAGACCAAGCCGTATGCAATCCACGTCGGTCCATGACGCCAACCAAGTTCTTTCTGATAAGGGTCCAGCCGTCCCAGCGACAAGCAGTAAACTGACTGCGCCAGTGCCTAGCCTCTTGGGGCCTCCGCCACTAACGCTGCCGCCCGAAGAGATCGAGGCTGATCGCACTCTGGCGCGCGCGGCTGCCGAAGCAAGAGGAGAGAAACGCCCCCAAGATGACACGGATGAGCCCGAAGATGGCTATGACATGGATGACGACATCAATGGCTTTTACAGCACGGAAAAGGGCAAGCGATCGCGAAATAAAAAGGTGCGCTGAACATTCCTCACTCGCAACAAGCATGCTCAACCCTTTATTGCAGAAAAAACGCAGACGAGGGCACTCGCCCGGTGCGATCTCGTGCGTCCACATGGATGCCGACTACGATCCGCGCGTTCCAAATGACTATGCGGCTTTCAAAGAGCTGCTGCGCACGCGGCGGAGAATGACTCGCGAAAAAAGGCAGGAGGATGTAGCGAGGCGAGGAGATCAGAGCTCAGAGTACGAGAGTGACGAGCAGGAGCCGGACGAAACGAGACTGCCGAAAACATTGTACAGTGCGTACAGCAGTGATTCTTTCGCCCGAGAGATAGTGTCGTTGACAGACTTCTTGTGGCGACGGTGCTGCTGCAGAAGGCTTTGCCCCACCACCGACATACAACGCGTCTACCGCACGCGCTGGCATTCCCAAAGTAGATGACGAAAAGCCGTACCTTTCTCCACCTCCCACAGCTATGCCCATGCCAAGCGTGGGTATGCCAGACGACCAAGATCAGCAGCGCACTCAGACATCCTCGGCCGACGAAATTTATGCGCGCAGACTTGCCCTGACTCAGGCTCTTCAACAGCAGATGCAAACTCTCTCGTCCCCTGCAGGGCCAGCACTGGCCCCGCCAGGTTGCCCTCCTTCGGCGCCAAGCACGAGCACATATGAAGCCCAGAAAAGCGCAGCGGCTGCGATCGCAGCTAAGTTGTCGCAAATGCAGGGTAGCAAGCCCGACAAGCCTCCTGCATTCCAGCCAGCCGCCGCGGCCACTAGCTTAACCGCGACCGACACAGACGAGGCAAAGCATCGCCCCGACCCAGCGGGCTTTGCCGCGCGCCTGATGGAGAAGTACGGCTATAAGAAGGGCGAAGGAATCGGCGCCCAGGGCAACAAGGGTATCGTTCAGCCACTCGAGGCGAGCAAGGCAGAACAGGGCGCCCAGCAGCGCCGGTACGCCCTTCCACACGGCAACGCAGATGACGCTAACACCAAAGCCAACCTGCATGCGATGGGCAAGATCGTCAACAACAATGCTGATCCGCGGCAGGAGGAGGAACAGAGGCGATTTGGAGACCCGAGCGAGACAATATTGTTGGAGAACATGGTCGCCGTGGAGGACATTGACGACGAGCTGCAGGACGAGATTCGTGAGTGTCTCGATCGGGCAGAGTCAGGCCGGACCCTTCTCCTTATTCTGACTTTGCTGCCTCGGACATTTCTGGTTTGCCACAGGCGAAGAATGCTCCAAGCACGGCATTGTAGAGCGTGTCTTCATTTACCCGGTTCCCGCACAGGCAGAGGTACTCATATTTGTGCGGTATAGCGGGCCAGTGGGCGCTTGGAAAGCAGTCCGCGACCTGGATGGGTGAGACCTTGACGGCGTGTTGTCCTCCCCTTCCTTGGCTCTTTGTGCAGCTCTCCTCGAAGATAGGCGCTAACTCGTTTCATCCCAGACGCTTTTTCGGTGGGCGCAAGGTCCGCGCTCGCTACTATCCGACTGTTCGCTTTGACCATGGAGACTATCTAGCTCTCGCGTAGCATGTGCTTTCGGGACGCCTTCAATACATGATTGTCTGCTTTTCCACTAGGCGCGGTACCTTGCGCAACGCCTGGTCATCTTTCGCTACTGCCCAGAGGTACCCGTCGACGTCTACCTCGACCATTGTAGACATCCATCCGTAGCGTTCGGGCTCCGCCTGCGCGAGTTCCTTTGCGCGAGCAGTGATGGCCACACCGGCATCCAGCGCTGCAGCCCTCACCCTATACGCCTCGTCATGCGACAGTTCGGGGCCCTCCTCGACGCCATTTGCAGATGACGTAGGCTTTGTGCTAGGATTCGCCCATTGTTGCAGCGCTGCGGAGCTGCTCTCGGAAATGTCGATCATACCAAAGTGCTTGATCATAGTCGGGATCACATTGTCGACAAACATGGGTAGGTCGTTGACAGAGGGAAGGCGTACAGGGAACGAGCTGTTGCCTGCAAATCGAGCGTGAATGCTGTAGACGAAAAAAAAAGCTTTCTTGAAGAGGTAGACGGGTTGCTTCCCGTCCACGAGATGCATATCTGCAAAGCCTGGTATCCCTCGCACAAGCTTATCCACGACCGTGTCCACACCGGTAGCTTCGCCTTTTTGCTTCTCAATCCGTTCGCCCTCTTTGAGTGCCTCCAACGCGAATGCTCCGAGATCCGGATAGCCGCCTTGCAGGAGAATGTTGCCCGTCTCGCGGCACAGCTTGACGACGAGTTGGACGACTTCGAGCATTGCACCACCGCGCTTTCCGACGACCACGGCCGGCATGCTCTCGTGCGGTCGTTCTTCAAGCAGGCTGACCCCCCAAATTCCGGCGACGTCGTCCTCAGTAAGTGATGCCAACCCGTGGGCGCTGAGTTTGCCTGTGCCGCCATCGTCTGCCGATCCAATATACAGGCCAAAGAGCAGCTTAATGACGTTTTGATAGGCTCCTGAGCCCGTGTGCTGGTGGAAGACGCTGCGATACCCGGAGAGTGTGTTGAGCAGCGCCAGAACGGCGAGAAAATTTACCTCGACATGGATCGAGGCAAACTGTAGGGGGAAATTGACGCCGTGCTCCTTCTTCAGCCTCTCGTAGGTATACTCATCCAAAGAGCGCAAAAAGGCATCAATCTTGGAGGAAGAAATGCTGATACCGCTGGCTTCCCGAAGCTCCTTGCACGATTTGCGCACAGTCGCAACGACTGCGTCCGCAGGTGGGAACGGCGCAGCTAACGAGGCAGGCATATTGCTGCAGAGTATCATAGATCGTCGGATCTGTCACAAGCAGCTGTGTCTAAGCAGGCCTTGGATGGGAATGGTGAAGTCAGTAGAAAGAATATACGGGATCAATCTTCCTGAGCCTGGTTGCGGTATGGATGTGATGACTCATGCGCTCATGACCGTGGGTTTCCGGCCACGAGCTTGTCGAGCCTTTGCAACATTCTTCCAATCCACCATAACACAGCATTGAGATCGACACGGTATCAAACCCATGCAGAGAGTGTTTTCCTAGGCTGACAAACGGCTCCAAGGTTCTCAGAACGGAAGCTGCATCCGTTCGGGTGGGGATTCAAAACATCGAAGATCTCCCTCTCTCGCCCATCTGCGGAGAACAGACAGAACACTTCAACATCAGGGCGGACATACAACAGAGATGCACATTGGTATTCTCAAAGCTGTACACTTTAGTCTACAATCTATCGAGACGACTTGCGAAATTTCATATACGAGAAGATGGTAGAATTGTTGTCGGTGCTGACGAAGCAACTGTCCGTGCGCCAGACGAAAAGGTTGCGGTGTTGCGCGAAGGACAGAGGTCAGATCTCCCAAAAGCGCCGCGTCCTCTCCCTCTTGACTCTTCACCGCTTCTCTCACATTTGATCTGTAGCATCGCCACCCACTGCTTTTCACCACCTTGCCTGTCTGTGAACGTGCGCAGGCATATCGGGTACACCTGTTCAGCGTTGCTGGCACACAAGACAATTGCCACGATGAGTGCCTCTGGGCGAAAAAGGTGAGTGTCGAGTGCTGCTTCTGAACAAGACACCGTCACTGACATACGCTTGCCAATGCCAGCCGTGACCTTATCGAGAGGGTGCGCTATCCGAATCCCATCCCGCTGCCTCCGTATCCTCCCAAGCTCACCAAGGTCGAGACACCGAGCTCTCGCTATGCGGATGGGCCCGAGACGCAGGGGAATGTTGGAGGGAACGCCGGCCTGCGCTTCACTTCGAGGCTTGCGCAGGCAAACTCGCTTCCCGTGGTCGTGGATGCTGAGGAAGGAATGCCACTTGATCTAAATCTCTTTTCTGGCGCCTGGACAGGAAATTTGAAAGGTGAGTGTGCGCTCGGCGAGACAGTCTGTTCTGAGACTGATCCAGATCTGTACGGGCAGCTGTCGCGCCGCACGATCTCATAAGTGCTGAAGCGCTGAATCTCGATCCAGAAGACGAGTTTCTGCTGGGCGCTATTGCAAGAACAACAGTCGGCGGATCGAGCCCCTCTCAACATGTCGGCTCGTATGCTACAACTGGTGTCAATGGCGCTGTCAGAAGTTCGCAGGCAGGGCTCGGTCCGAGCGTGGCCCCTCGCGCTAGTGCTGCCGGAGTCACTTGGCTCCGAAGAACTGAATATCTCGGAATGGAGCAGATCCGATCGGGCACTCGTAAAGAAAAGAGGCCACGGAAGCTAAGCATTGACACATCTCGTGAGGCGCAAATCGACCGTATCAACAGAACATTTGCCAAAATCAAAACGCAGCCCCTCTCCGAGCTCAAACACCCGACCAAGGGGAATCTTCGAGCGGTACAGAGCTGGGACCTGTTACCGGATGCAGAAACATGGAGCACAAATTTCCAGATCGTCCGCTTTCAAGATTGGCCAGGGCGCGTCAAAGACGGCAAGCCAATCGCGGATCCGCGTGTTTCATCCGCACTGCTGCGCCCCGTCCACACCGACCTGAACGAGCAGCGCATCTCTTTCTACCTCATCACCCCCGAAGACGAGGACAGCGTCACCGCGGCAGCCGCAGCCGATGCCAAGGCGGGTGATACGGGCGACGGTGCATCTGCTGCGGATCAAGATGGGGAGGACGAGGAACTATTTGGAGATGACGAGGAGACAGCCGCACCCAAGAAACGTAAAAGGGACGATGCTGTAGCCAAGGAAGCGAGTATTGAGGAGAACATCACGAAAAGTCACCAGAATGTTGAGCAAGAGATTGCAGAACGGTATGAGAAGAAGCGCAGGACGGGGCATGTAACACCACAGCCCGAACAGGAAGGCGAGGAACCTTCCGCCGATGTACGTATCGTTGGCTCCCATTCGCCTTACTCGTTTCGCTGACTGCCATCCATCACATGCTCTCAGGATTACACAAGCTTCAAATTCCACCGCGACTACCAGCCTGGCGAGCAGGACGCCGCACAAGCGAGCTCGCAGTACGTCTTTGTGTTTGACGACAGCTCAGGAATACCACCACAGAGCGACCCAGAGAGGGCCTGGCGTGCGGAACAGCGGGCCGGGCTTGGTGGTGACGACGCAGCAAAAGCAGCAACTAAAGGCAAGCAGTCGCAGCGCCAGATTGCGTACTGGCACCCAATTGCAATGCGCTACACACTCAGGCAAAAGCGTATTAGGGTACGTTGCGCTGATTCGCGTTCTTGCACCTGGAGACAGCATACTGATGTGCCATGTTTCTGCTTGCGTAGAGGAACGAATCTCGCCGCTACGGTGGTATGTGGGACAGGATTCGTCTCGCAGAGCGGGAACCGCTCGAAAAGGAAATCAAGAAACGATGGCGGCAGCGTCGTCTCGTCGACCACCTCGACGCGCGCCTGGAAGCTGTCCTGGACGAGTCAGAGGGCGAGATGGAAGATGCGGAAGGCGAGGTGGAGGAAGGTGCTGCGACGCACGATGCGCTCCACACAGATACCCACGCGGATACCACTGTGCGCGACAGGCATGAGCCGGACGGGGACGCATCTATGGAAGATGCAGGTGTTGCGGCCAAGGACAAAGTAGCGGGCAACAAGGATAGCGGCAGCGATCGCAGCGACGGCGATGATGGTGATGACGACGACGACGATGACGATTCTGAGAGCATCGATGCAGATGAGGAACTCAAGGCGCTAGCAGAAGAGGCAGAAGGACAGCAGGACGATACTCCCGTCGAGGGAAGGCGCCGGAGATCGGCGGCAGCAGCTGCAGCCAACTCTGGACCATCCGATGGCGACGCTGACGCTGACGATGATGAAGAGTAGCCTCCACCTACCTGTATCAAAAGTAACATGGAACCCATTGGCGGATCTGCCAACTTCCGCTTGAATGCGACTGCGGTGTCGAACTCTGGCACGATCGAGCACATGATGCTCCGAGCCTTTCGTGTAGCTCTGTATATTGTTTGGGTCACAATCTCTACAAGCCACGTGCTGTCGGGCCCCTTCCCTCGTCCCGCGTTGCGTAGAAGCGTTCCAGGAAAGTTGACGGCGTTGGGATGGCCTGGGAGGCAGCGTTGCTATCGTAAGCTGCCATCCTTCTGTGACTCAAAGCTAGCCCCGAACGGCAGCCCTGCTGGCCAAGACTCACCTCCTCTTCACGGAACCACTTCATGATATGCGGAATTTGCTTCCATGCATTCATGGTCTCCTGATACTCTGCATGACCCTTGAAGAGCATGACGTCGACGACGGCGAGATCCTTGATGTTTTTGTTGGCCTCAAACCAGGTGCGTACCTTCGCGCGGACTTTTGAGGGGGGCACATCGAGCGCATACAGCGCACAGATCTCGGGGGCCTGCGTCACGATCCACACCAGGGCACATGGAACGACATCAAGAAAGGTGAAAGCACTCAGCTACTAGCCACAGACGTAAGGCGACCAAGTCGCGCAGGATGCGAAGGCGGGCAGGCACTCACAGCGCGGTACCAGTTCCGGTACAGTGTCCGCGAACGAGCCTGGGCCTCTCCCCACGACCTGCTCACGCGCGTGGTCTGCGCCAAGCGCGCAGGAATAGTCGTCATGCTAGGCGCCGTCTACGATGAGCACGAGGACTTGAGCTGGCTCCGATGCTGGAGATACAGAGCAACTCGATGAGAACCATTCACGTTGAATGGGTCCATGGATTCGAATCCTCACTCGCTGGAGCTCGCAACTCTCCCAAGTCGCAGACTCGTAAGCGGGAGCGCATGCAAGGCCAGACCACCGCAGCTGCGCACTGGCAGACGAGAAGCGACTGAGTTTACACAATTTCCCCAACTCATCGCTTCATCCTCAAAGGATAGTCTGCGGCGAACTCATGACGATGTTGAACTTCCTTCCTACAAATGCACGGCTTGAGACATGCCCTCGTTCAGATAGGACGCTGGCATGTATGCAACTTACTATGCGTCGTGTCTGTACGTTCCTTCTTCTGAATACACAATAGGAATTGACAGGCTGCTCGAGTGAGATAGCGCACGTCTATTGCGTTTCGCAGCGGCCATCTGGCGCGTCGACAACGTTTAATGACCTCGGCCAATGCCTTCAAAATGATGAATCACGCTGCCTCCAACGTTGCCCGATACTCTTCATTCAGCAGCCCCATCGCCGCGCTATTTTTCTAAGCAGCGTGGAAGATCCAAGCGCAATCGAGCAGCGCTTGCAGCGAACAATGCGCCATACACTTGCCCTTCCGTCTGCCGTTGTTGCGAGCCCGCTAACAATGGGAGACAGAAGACAACGTCGTTGGGTAGCGACATCTTGCGTGTAGAGGCATGCGCCGGTGAAATGGAACAGGTATGGCCTTGGAACTCGGATGGGTACCATTGGCCGCGCCGCTTCTTGCAACCGAATTGCCTCAGCGGGTTGGTCGACCTGATCCGCGCTCGCCCGCACCGAGGGTCCGAAAAAAAATAGGAAGCAAGACTCATTGTAGGAGATAGGGATATGCATGGATAGGCAGACAAACATCGCGAGGCTGATTATTAGCCTCCGTCGAATCAGGTATGCTCGATTGCAGGGCAAGAAAATGGGTCGGTGCGAGCTGTGGTCGCGTTGCTGCTTGACTGACCAGCGCGTCGATTTCCAAGCAATCGCCTTGGCTCTGGCCCCAGTTCCCACCTGAAGAGCGCAGGATATTTTGTCGTGGAATCGGGCCTGACTCCAGCTGTTGTCTGACTCGACTTCATTTCGCAGCAAGAAGGAGCGCATCTTGGCGAGCAACCCGATTGTACCGCCTGCCAACTCGTAAAGCGCACAAGCGCGAGGTCCAGTCAGTCCTTGCTGGCTTGGAAGTGGGCAGCATGGTTGTGGAGGCGATGAAAACGAAAGTGCTGCTCCAAGCCGGTGCTGAATGAAAGAGGCTGCGAAGGTCAGACTGCGGACAGCGCATTGGTAACCGCAGCCGCGCCTTACATGATAATGGTGACCATGATTCCAAGGACAGACTGGTGATTCCAGCGGTGCTGGTGGTGACAGTGGCACCGGCGGCGACGGTGGAATCGGCCACTGCGGTTGAGGTCAGCTCGTGCTAAACCTCGGGCTCAACTGTTGCTGCTGGACGAGACGGGTTCGTTTTCGAACCAGCGAAGCGCACAGAATTGAGATCCTGTGTAGAAGTGACTTCCATCACAGTGATCGACATAGCCACGGAGTAAACGGAAATTCCGTTTCAATGGAGGGGTTTGGGAAACGATAAGAGGTCATTTGACAAGGCGAACTGTCCTTACCGACGCGCCCAAAGTTCAGCACTCGCCAGCGTTCTGGACAGCACTTAGTGGGGACCACGAATTTGAGGGTATTAGTCTTTGCTTCGTTTCTTCGCTCGTAATTCGCTCATTATGGAGACATTGTGATGTGCAAGGTAGGCGAAGGTACATTGGACGGTATCGCCAGTCATTTTCGCAGTCGGCCCGCGCTGGAGGCTGCTAGGGTCGTGCACTGACAACGGGAGAGCACAAGAGAGTCTCCGTGCAGAGCTCCATAGTTGTTTCAAGGGTCATAAACATGAACCCGGAAGCGATAAGCGAAAAGCCGCATCACGGGCGACAGGCCGGATACTACTTTCATTAGATGACTAAAGGTCCGTGGGTGCGAAGCGTGAGGCGGTGAGCAGCGACGGCCCCAGACGCGGGAAGAGCTGTGTGAGTCTTCCTTTTGCGATCAAGGCCATCTTGATCTGTGTCTGAGCAGCCGCCTGCTCTTCAGACTCTGTACGCTCAACTCAACCGCACAAAGTGTCGAGAGCACATGAAACGATTTTTCGATCAGCGGTATATTCTCGGTTCCCGCGCTACTTGCTGCTGCGCGCCTTAATTTCATCTATACAATGGCCCATCACGGCAGGACACGAAGTCGCAAGCTTACAGAAGGGTGCCAGCCCTCCAAACGGCCCCCCGGGGACGGGGGGGAAGATATGCGAAGACCCATTTGATTCAAGTGATCCAACTTCTTTCGCAAGGAACGCGGACGCACCCTCGACTGGCTCGTTTGGGTTTGCGAGGCTGAAAAGTTCTTTAAAGGGGCGAAGTGACGATGGATTTCAGCTTCCAGCGTGCGGACGACACAACACGGCTGACCAGGGAACAGAAGATGAGCGATGCGCATCGCGCGACAGCAAGGCATATGCGTTCTTAGTGCAGCGCTTTTGGCTTTTTGCTGCAGCAAAGCCGTCGTCTTTTCTCTGTGAATGTAGCATGTGCGTGCAATGGCTTTGGCCCGGATGACAGCTCACGGATTTTGCCATTTTTTTGATTTCTTTCCCTTTCACACAGGCTCGCCCTTTCACATGCTTCCGAGAACCATCTCCAGTCGGAGATGGCAGAACTACGACGGGCTGGAAGCAGGTGTTAGGGGCAAAAGTGGTACCTATTGGGACTTGCGCGGTTTGTACGCTCTGCTCGTCAATGGAGAGCTTCGCTACTTTTTGTATCGGCATATGGCGCATCACGAGGCCGTGCAGCCTGCTCCGTCCGCTATAGACTGCCAGAGAGTCATCCCTTGAAGGCCTTTGACAGTTGAGTCGCGTGGGTAAATGCAACACAGCGCTTACTAATCTAATATGAATTCACCCTGATAATCCGGAGACATGTGAGCCATCTGCCGTTAGGGGATTTAAAGCCGAGAGAGGGATTGCGGAATCATATAGTGTGGTAGGCGCACCGCTGTTGCAGCTCGATCCATACGACGAGCTTGTGCATGGAAGGCATTGCAAAAAGCTTTCGCACCCCGTTTTGTCGCATGCGGTGTCTGGTATTCACGGATGCAGTCTGCTGCAAATTGCGAGACGACAGTGACCAACGCTCTGGGTGATGAGCGAACGACTCTCTAAAGAGGCTGATGAGGATGACGAAGGGGAGAGATGGTTGGACAGCAGATATAGTGAGAGACAGAGACGGCGTGTGCCTGTTGTGCGTTGACTCGCGTGCGAAATGGACGAGCACAACAGCACCAACCAACACTCTTTTGGGCTTCGAAACCCACCACGTATGTATGCCTCAACGGCTGCTGGATTGTCCGTCAACCGCCAATGCACCCAGCACCAACCACTGCAAAACCCCTCTCCATCATGCCTGACTGCCTCTGATAGTACACCGTCGAACCATCCGGGCCTTCCGCCCATAGCTTCTTCCTCCTTGCTTGAATTGATTTACCCAAATGATGAGCTTCACCTCCTTCCTCTCCCCACCGCCTCTTTCTCCTCCTGCAATCTTCCCCCTTCATCTGGTCAGGCAGGCCTGCCAGCCTGCTTCATCCTGCCCCTCCTTCCCTCCCCGTCCTTCTCCTGCTCTCCTGCCCTCCCAGTTTCCTCCGTCGCCCTCGTCTCTCGCTCATCCCCCGCCGCTGGTCGGCACGCTCCATTCATCTCCACCCCACACTCCTTTGGGCAGCTTCGTATTGACATTCCAACCGTACAAAAGGCACACAGGAAATACACACCCCTACACGATGACACTTGACAATTTGACCGTCAGCCCCGTGGCCGCTCTGGTCAGCCGCCTGCAGCAGGCAGCCAGCAGTCAGTCGTTCGGCAACACATCGAGCAGCGTGGCGTCCTTACTGGTTGCAGCCAAGCCACAGCCGGCCGCAGCACTTATGCTGTCTGTCGCCATTGCTTTCACCTTGACAGCGCTTACTATGCTGCTCGCGCTGTTCGAGATGGGTCGTTGCATCTATTCGCTCGCCACCTCACAGGCGCAGCTGCGAGGCCTCGCCAAGCTCAAGATCTGGCTGAGATCATGGAGATGGATCTATGCCTTGCTACTGCTCATAGCATCCGTGGTGGAAGCGGTCTACTTGATCCTCTACCTCGAGACCCGTAGAGGGGTTGTTGGACGGCAAGCTCCTATGGACCTATCGGTCATCGCCTTTGGGTTCTACTCGACCGCTGCCGCTTTCATTGTTATCATGATTGGCACCGGCGTCGCCTCCGACTCGCCTGCGCCCGCCTCTGTCCTCTCTGTCAGTGCCAGAGCTCGACGCGTGCTCTGTACGGCCACTGGCTCGCTGTCCTGCTGTCTATCCCTCGGTTGGGGTGCTTGGGTGCTCGTGAACTATGGAGCTGCTGCTCGGCAGCTTGATGGCGCCCTTTCTACTCTGATCCTAAACCAGGGCGAATGCGACGAAGACGATGCAGATTGTGGTGCGAACACCCTGACGCAACGCTTATCCTCCGAGTTGAAAAGTCTGGGCACAATCGACGCATTCAAAGGGATCTCGCTTCTCATCCTCGGAGTGCTCATCCTGTGGACGAGCTACGAACTCCTAGTCATTCGACACCAAGAAGCCTTGGCCGAGAAAGCTGCCTGCTCCACATGGGCAGCCACTGTGCAAGAGAAGAGCTACAATGGTAGGAGTTTCAGAAGTCGCACCTCTGCCACTGGAAGCACGTTCAAGGCAAAAAGACGCTCGTCGGGCCCCCAAAAGCTTGAAGACGTCCCCGTACTGTGCAGACAGGCGTCGACTGCTTCCACTTCAAGCTCCTGGTACTCGTCGGTCGATTCTGAAGCGATGAAGGCCCCACCATCGTATACAGCTCGTTCACGACTTCACACTGCCGCTGGGTTCAATACCGATGAGGAAGAGGACGACGAAACTGCAAGCACACCTGGTGCCTACCGAGCCAGGGTGAAGGGTCGCAAGCTGGACACGAGTGCTGAATTTGGTGCCGAGCTGCAGCGCAAATTCGGTACCACCAGCGCCACTGGCAAGACCAGCGTCGGCTATTTCAACCATCACGACATCGCTCTGTCCGATGGAGCCTCCGACAACAGGTCATCCTCCTCCGTTTCAGATGGTGGGAACATGACCCGACACTCGTCCGTTCTGCCCACCAGGGACGGACCGATGACGCCAAGCTTGTCACAAATACCCAAGCTTGCAGGTTACGTCAAGAGCTCGCGCTACTCTGGCAGCAGCGCAAGCGTTCCCTCTTACACCAGCCAGATGAGCGTGGACACAGCTTCAGCTCTCGCGGCCAAGGAGGCTGAAGTGAATGACCGCCTCGCCGCAGAGACGCGCGGCATTCGCTGGGCAGCTGCTCTCGCGCTCATATGCGTGCTGCTCTACAGCGTTATTATCGTGCTGAAGGCGTGCATCGGCCCGGAAGTCGACCTGGGCGATCGACCCGGATTCGAGCTCGTCTCGGTCGTGTGGCAGGCAGTCGTATCTAACATGCACTTGCCGATACTTGCGATCCTGATGAGCCGCGGTATCGGCTTTATCAGATCCTCCTCATCCGCGAGCATGTCGCTGAAAGACGAAGCGTCACTCAAAGCGTAGAGTAGTCACGGGCAAGTCAATATAGAGAGATGTGTACAATTGGCCGATTCGCATGTCTCCTACAGCTTCTGTGCTTGATAGCTCTGGCGTTCTAGATAGTCGACTATGCGCTGGGCTTCCCGCTCACCGCTTACAATTGCGCCAGCGATTGAGCCACGGTCTGCATTTAACGAGGGTTGGGATGTCAATCGCGAAGGTGGACATGCTGCATGAGTACTCACGATCCATTTCAGTGTGTTCGCCCGCAAAGTTCAGAGCACCTCCCCAAAGGGGCCTGCCTAGTTCAACAAAATCGAGCGGGCTGTGATTCTCGCCGACGACGACTGGGGTCGTGGTGGCGCCCCTAGTGAATTCCTGCTTGTTCCAACGTGAGTAGAAGCTGTGCTTTGGCTGTTCAATGGCACCAGCTTTGCTTCCGATACGCTCGAAGAGGTAGGCGTGCAGCGCCTCGGCGACCTCCTGGCGTGTAAAACGCTCGATGGCCCTGCCGTGCTCGGCACCGACATACGCCAAAAGTGAAGGATTGGGGTCCGGTAACCCGTTCGGAGCGGCGAATGAACTGACGATTAGGGTGCTCGAAGAGAAAATGTCGCGCAAAGAAGCGCTCTGTAGATCTGCAGGTATCAAAGTGGTGGGAAGGATGGTAAAAGATCCTGTCTTCACTTCCCACCACGGGTTATCGTATGAAAGGAGGACCTTGTTAAGCGCGCCGACATTCACTCGGTCCTAAGAGACTCCACACAAACAGTTAGTAATTGGCAATCGTGCGTGATCTCTCCCAAAGGCACCCACAATGACAGCCTTGCGCCTCTCTGGCAGACTTGGCTCAAACATGCCTTTTGCCCCCTTTAAGACGGCGAGTGGAATCGTGCAGAGCACGCTGGCAGCCTCGTACTTGAGGCCGTCCTGACTGACAACCTGCACGCGCGAACCGTTCCCCTCTGTGAGAAATTTGACCTGCTGGACAACTTGCGACGTCTTAATCTGAGCACCGTGCTTAGTAGCGTCCTCCACGATCTTGGTGATTAGCCGCGTGAAGCCTCCCTCAGGAGCTGCGTCCGTACCGGCAAAGTTGCGCTCAAACCCAGTCCAGCGCAGGGCGATGTCTTCAAGTCTTGCACCGAGGGGCACGTGTAAAAGGCGTGCAAAATCAGATGCGAGTTTTTTGTCGCCTTGCGACGATATACCTTCATAAAGAGGGGAAGATGATGAGAAAAGATAGTCTGCGAGAGAGCGTGATGAGTCGGGCAGTGATGGGCCTTCAGATTGAGCCAGCTTCGCTGCCGCTGCTTGGGCTGCTCCCAAATTTGCGCAAAGTTTAGACGCCAAATGCTCAGACAGAGGGCCGTGAGGCCCGATCACCTTGGAAGTGGTGGGCTTTGGAATGTTGGCCTTGATGTCATAATGTTCAGCGAGCTTACGCGCAGGGTTGCCCTCCTCAAAGCCGTGAATCCATGAGCAGCCAAAGTCGACGACAAAGACCTTGCCGCTGGGACCGGCTTCATGAGTGCATGCATTGCTATCTGCCGGCGTCTCGGGCGTCCATGTATGCGTAAAGGCTCGGCCGCCGATGCGCTCGCGTGCCTCCAGGAGGATGACCTTCTTGCCGGCGTGAGAGAGACGCGTGGCGGCAATCAGGCCAGCCCAGCCGCCGCCGATGATGAGCGTATCAACGACCGCCATGTCGGGCATGGTTTGCGATGAAGCGGACAGCGCTTGAAATGCTCTGCGACTAAGGACGGAGGTGCGATAGAGCACGTGCAAGCTGGAGGGAATCAGATATCAATGATATGGAAGTCTGGGTAGGTAATGACGATGTGGAACACGTGGGGGTGCGTCATACGAGTCCGTTGTTCAGTTATCTCGGCCGGCTTGTGCAACTTCCCTCGTGCGCTCTGACGTTGGTAATCGCACACGCAACTCGCGCCACTTAGCCGGAAATGCAGCTGAGACCTGGGGCGAAAAGAAGGTCGAAGGAGCTGTGAAGGCTCTCGAGGGGGTGCAGCATGATATTTAAGGAGAACAACGGGAGAGCTTTGTAATCATCGTTTTCAACGCTGGGAGGAATACAAAGGGCGAGTGGAAAGCCCGAGACTAAAAGGGAGAGTGGTATTGAAGATTCCATCACGGTCCCGCCAAGAATTTGCCTGCAATGCACTGCCGCACGGTTTCGGCAATGGCGACTTTGCTCGGTGCCTCTGTTGAGTCTTGCACCACCGAGATGCCGAGCGCGCTGAGGGTCTTCCCGCGCACAGTCCAGCGCACACCGACGGGTTGCGGAGTGGACTTTGCGTCGACCTGGAAACGCGCCAGGACCTTTTGTACCGTAGCGGAGGCTGCCGTGGAGCCCAAGGAGAGTTCGTCAGGGAGGGCCCATTGCATCTTCTTGCTCTCTGCGATCCAGGTGCCACTGGGCTTGCTCATGACGGACGAGACGTTACTCGGCGTAATGCCAACGACAAAGCTGATTCCGTGCAGTCGCGCCTCTTGCTCGTCGCTGTTGGCGGACGCAGTGCAGAGCTTTGAATCGGGGTTGACACTGTACGAGAGCAGCAGAGATGTCTGCGTGTCTTCGCACCGCCACTGCGCAGAGACGTCCAGCGGAAGATAGCGTCTACGGCGGATGGGATCGTCGCTGACGTACAGCTGGTACTTGAGCACGGTTGCCTGCGCGGTCCCGCCGATGCCCTGCGCAAGAAGCGCGGCGACATCGAGCTTGTACTCGCCTGGCCTGCCATAGATGGCCGTGAGGAACGCGGGGTTCGGCGCAGCTTTCTCGAGCTGCTCAAAGGCGTCGACGCGGATGTGCAATGGCTCGGTGCTGACGACGTCCTTGAGTGACAATCCGACTTCGCCGACGACCATGATCTTGCTGAGCTCCTTGCCACTGAACAACACGTTCACCGTTTCGGTGATCGCCGTGGAGATCCCGCTGGCGCCGAGCGCGGTATTGGTGAACGGATCCGCAGCGGCGCGTGAGGAAGATACATTCGAGAGCATGCTCTGCGTTCTGCCATCTGCCGTCCTGCTGGCGCTCGAAGCCCCTGACTTGGTCGCGAACAGGCTCTGTGTGGATGTGGCGGCGAGCGGGGAGGGATGCGCGCTGCCAGCTGCCGAGCTTTCCGCTGCCGCAGCATCGCCGCGCTCGGGGATGGTGAGTGCTCCAAGGCCAAACTGACTCATCGGTCGTGACTCCTCGCCGAGCGCGGGGTTATAGACGGTGTTGCGCACATCGCGTCGATCGCGCCTGCTGGTCGTGTTGCGCCGGATCGGCGCCGCTTTGGGCGCGCCGAGCGTGGCGCGCATTTTCTCCAGCGCCTCTTGGTCCTCGGCCGAGTTGGCTTGCGGCACGGGCGCCGCATTGATACTCATCGTGCTGACTCGGTGGGAAGCAGCCCTGCGCATGGTAAAGTGGAATCAGCTGGCTACTCAACAAGAATTATTCTCAGGAGACTCACAGATTCGACACAACATCGTCATCCCCATCGCCATCCATCAAGGATGATACCCTCGCTCCGAATTCCCATGGCTTTCTATCCGGCGGCGGAATCGAGTAGCCCTCGCTGTCTACTTGCGGTGCAGTGGAGGCCGCAGGGCTTCCGTTGAGACTGAAAGCGCTGGTGCTATTGCCCAAGCGCCCGTTACCGGCTGCAGCGCTTCCGTTCATCTCGGTCACATCACTCAATTTGGGGGGCTGCGGCAGGTCCATCAGCCGCGGCGGCCCATTGGACGTGCTGCGTGACGCGGAGCCAGAGCCCGCACCCGCACCGATGAGATCAAACAGGGGCTCGTCATCATCCAACATGCTTTTCTTGCGCGGCTGTGCAGCGCTCGTATTGGAACGCTTGATCGTCGCGCCGGCGTCGATGAAAGACGAATCCGGCTCGTCGTTGAGCGTACCATAGAGCGTGCTCGTGTTTCCTGCTCCGCCGCTACCGCCAACGTCCTTACCACTTCGCCCGAGCCCGAAACGGCTGAAGGCGCTCTTGAACGAACCCCCTGCTCCGCTTCCGGCGCCTGCACCCGTTCCATTTGACTTGGTGGACGTAGGAGTGTCCGTGATGGCACCGGCTGCGCCGCGCTTCGAGGATTGACCGATGGAGTGGATGGATGCCGCTGACGAACTGGCTACGCCTGTGCCAGAGACCGCGGCGAATTCAGTAGCAGCGATGCTGTTGCTCGTATTGAACGACTGCGGCATACCCGATCCGGCTGTATTGCTTTGGCGCGGAGCCGGTAGAGGCGGGGGCGGCATGTCACTTCTTCGCACGCCGCCGTCCCGCGTGGCGGATGTCGCGTTGGTGCGCGCTGTAGCGTTCGAGGCGCTGCGGCTGACTTGTGTCGGTAGCGCCGGCGCACCGGGACCAGCCCCCCCTCCCTCTCTGGCGAGAGATTGCCTCGCGGAACGCGCGGAAACGGCATGTGCGTTACCTTCGCGGAGCGCAAACTCCTGCATATCAGTGTTGACATCAAAGCTGAGACAGACCTGCATGGTCTGCTCGGAGATGCCCATCAGCTTCTGCGCCGCATCCGCGCTGGCCGTCTCGAACTTGGCAACGACCTCCTTGAGCAGGTTAAGGCGCTCCTTGTCGATACGCTGGTATATCTTGAACCCTTGCGTCGCATCTTGCACCCAGAGACTCTGCATGTCGTCGATCGCGCGCTGCGTGTCGGCAACCTTTTGTTGCGCCGCAGAAACTTTTTTGCCCGATGCAGAGTCGAGTTTCTTGGCATCTTTCGAAAGCTGCATCTCGAGGCTGTTCAGCTCCTTGACCGTGTTTCCTAGCCGGTCGTCATACTAGATGCACGCGAGGGCGATGGCCAGGGTTAGATGAGAAAGCAGCGAGGGGATTATGTCAGGCGAAGGCCACACTCACATCTCGAATGGCGGCCCATGCGCCTTTATTGTGGGCCGATCGAACAGCCTCTTCGCACTCGGTTGCAATCTTGCGCTCGAGCTCGCCGTGAACGTTAGCGACCTCTGCAATTTCGCCTACGAGGCGCTCGTAGATCGGCGCAAAGGACGGCGGCATGCACGAAGGGTCGGAGAGAAAGCTCCTCTTGGCGACCTTTGCGAGTCCCTTGAGGTAGGCTTCCTCAACCTCCCTGCGCGCCGCAAAGTAGTCTGCCAGCTCGTCTTTGAGCACGCGTGCCTTGCGGAGGCGCGTCTGGATGGCCTGCAAACTCTCGCGCGGCTTGCCGCCGACAAAGGCGTTGGCGTACATTGAGCTGACCAGCTCGCCGCCTGCTGCCGCTCCGCCGCCGGAAGACATGTTTGCTGGTGTGCCACGGTGGAAGTAGAACTTGGTATGGTAGTGCTCAGATCGCGATCACACCTGTAGCATGGAGCCTGGGCCGGATGGCTTGCACGGGGATCGTATGTATCTGTTACCAACGATGAGCCTGTGACGATGGACTACTTCCTGGATGACGATGACGATGATGTTGAAGATAGCAAGATGGCTTGTGTCGTGCCCATGCTACATTAGGGCCAGAGCGCACAGGGCCAGGTTGCAACCCTAGTTTCTATCTTGAAAGGTTGAGGGGCATTTCGTGTTTCACGGGGCACGGGATTCGGAATTCGGGACATGATTTTGACTGCAAAAGTTGTCGCCACTCCAGCAGCCTCCATGGACTCTCACGCGATTTATTCGACATTCCATCTCTTTCGCAGGTGAGTCACTGACTGACTCGACTTAAGGCAACTGCGTTTCGTTGCCTTGGTCGGTTGTTCTGCATTCGATGGTCGGTATAGCACGCTTGTCTCCTCTGCTACACCAAGGGTGAACGCCTGCATCTCCCTTCTAAAATCGCAAGGTGGAGACAGAAAAGAGTTTCGGAGTAACAAGAAAGATTCATCATCATGGCCCTGCCCAACCCCGGTGCCGCCGCCGCCGTCGCCGCCCAGGCTGCTCCAATTGCGCTGTCAACGGCAGCTTCTTCCAACATCCAAACCAATGGACACGGCCCGCATGCAAACGGATCTGTACAAGGCGAGGAATACATTTACACGAACGACGCCCGCGTAACAGGCTACGAGCCGCTGATCCCGCCATCACTGCTGCTTCACGAGATCCCCGTGCCGGCCGAGTCGCAGCGCACGATCGCACGTGCGCGCGGGCAGGCGTCGGCCATCGTCAACGGGCTCGACGATCGGCTGCTCGTCGTCGTCGGCCCCTGCTCCATCCACGACACAGTGCAGGCAGTTGAGTACGCCAAGCTCCTGCGCGAGCGTATGCCGACGTGGCCGGCGCTCGTCATCGTCATGCGCGCGTACTTTGAGAAGCCGCGTACGACCGTCGGCTGGAAGGGTCTGATTAATGACCCGGACATCAACGGCTCATTCAACATCAATCGAGGCCTCCGCATCGCGCGCAACCTGCTCGTTTCGCTCACCGCTTCCGGCGTACCCGTCGCGTGCGAGCTGCTCGACACCATCTCCCCGCAGTACCTCGCGGACCTGTACTCGTGGGGCGCAATCGGCGCGCGCACGACCGAGTCGCAGCTACACCGCGAGCTCGTCAGTGGCCTCTCCATGCCGGTTGGCTTTAAGAACGGCACGGACGGCTCGCTCACCGTCGCCGTCGACGCCATCAAGTCCTCCTCGCGCCCACACGCCTTCATGGGCGTCACAACTCAGGGCCTCGCCGCGATCGTCAAGACCGCCGGGAACCAGGACCTGCACATCGTCCACCGCGGCGGCAACAGCGGTACCAACTACGACACCGCATCAATCCAGAAGAGCACCGCGGAGCTGAACAAGGCGCTGCCGGACCGGCATCCGAGCATCATGGTCGACGCCAGTCACGGGAACAGTCAGAAGGACTTCCGTAACCAGCCTAAGGTCATTGCTAGCGTCGCGCAGCAACTCCGCGCCGGCGAGCGCGCCATCACCGGCGTTATGATCGAGAGTCACTTGAACGAGGGCAAACAGGGCGAGCCTAAGGGGGGCCGCCTAGAGGAGCTCAAGTACGGCGTCTCCATCACGGACGGATGCGTCTCGTGGGAAACGACCATGGAGATGCTCGATCAGCTTAACGACGTGCGTGCTATGTGATGAGTTTGTCGTACTGGTATAGTAGCTGATGAAGCTAAACCCGCGCACCACAGGCTGTCCTTGCTCGAAGAGCTCACAAGGCATAAGCGACGGCACTTTCCTTTTACCAAAATTCGCTTTTGCAAACGCACTGATTCTTTTTACCCCTGCATCATTGACACCTGCAACAGCATCACGTCCTCCATCAATCATGCTTTCTGTGTCAGGCTGCCAGCGCAACGAGACGACTTGTATACATGCAAAAGTACAAAGCAACAACGAAAGCAGAAAGAGCATCGATGATGATACCGACGCCCACGCGCTTCCTTCTGACCACTCCTCAACCTCCCCCCTCTCCCGATGCCCATGCAGCATGTGCTCTGCAGCCACGACAGGTGGATCTCGTCCGGGATCGTGACGTGTACCGTCGCGTGCGGCCACTTGGGGTCCACGAACCCGTGCTCGGCGATGCGCCGAACATCCTTGACCGCGCTCCACGTTCCGTGGAATGCAAGCACATTCCCGTCGCCTGTAATCTTGGGCGCCTTGATTATGCGCACGTCTGGCTTGATGTCGCTTTTGTCTAGCGCGCCGCTGTTGGCGTACATCTGCACGTTCGCGAAGTCGTGTGTCCCGAGCTGGTCGTTCGGATGCGGTGGCCCAAGTCTGCTTCGGTGAGCAGAAGTGTGTGGATATACAGCTGGAGCAGGACATGGTAAGGGGTACAGTCATGAGCATGAGAATGAGGACAGACTTACTCTTCACGGTCGACTTACCGCTTCGATACCGTGCGGGCCATACGTGGCAGAATAGAATCCTTGCAACGAAGAGAAATCGAATGAATTTGACCCCGGGTCGAGGTGGGTGGGCGGGGTCATGTGCGTTCAGCTTCCACCGGGACGGTCTTGGAACGACTGAGGCCACTTTGGCTGGTCGTCGAGCGAGCGCACGCGCAGCCGCTCCAAGCCGACCTCTTGTATAGAATGTGCCTGGAGCGGCGCAATGTTCTGATAAGCCCAGTCGGACTCTTGTGCGCCCCGGCCGATGCTGCCCCGTCACTGCCTGTGTGCTTGTAGATCATCATCAACCGCTCCTGTCGCAACGCCGACTGAAGCTCCCATGCGACTCTCATGTGTCGCCTGTGCTTCAAGAATCGGTTCACCCCGTAGCGGTGGGAACGAGCCGTCTTGAACCGTCACGCACTGGACAGCAGGGCCGCCCTCATGCCCACCATCATCGGGTAAGTCGCGCGTATCAAGCTCGGGGCAGCCCGGGGCCTCAGCGGCAGCTGTACCGCTCCCCCACCCCTGCTCGGGGCGTTTGTCCAGGCAACGATCATGCAATCCTGCAGCCGCGTTCGGATGGCGAACAGATCGGCGAACAGAATCCTGCTTTCCGGTTCGGTGAGTGCAAGAATGGGTCCTTGCATTTGAATAGTTGGCTTCATGCCGACTGACGCTGAGCCACTGTACGCCTGTCTCTCGCAGTATGGTGAAGACGACCGCTTACTCTACCGAGTGGAGCCTGTATGCTTGTACCTTTTCCAAACGTCCTCTTGGGCCATAATCACATTGATTTTGTCACCATCAACAGTTGCCGTGACCGCCGGCGCAATCCCGCGAGTGCAGTACACTCGCCCTGGTCGAGTTCGCGCCGAACCATCATGCACTGTTGATGTCCCCTCTTTCCTGCAGCAGTCGAACCGCATGCTCACTTTCGCGCTGCTTTCTTCGGCCTGCTCGCTGCTAACCTTCTGCACTAAAGCGCCCCGATATGTGCGGCGATGCTTCATGCTGCTTTGGCACACCTGAAGTCGGCAAACACATTCAAATCGCCAGGCGATAGTGGAGATGATTATATAAGCAATTGGTCTCTGTGTGTGTGCGCAACGCGTCGCGTTCGAAATGCAATATAGCGCAACGGGATGCGACCTCGATCCCCCAGTTTCTGCCACACAATCTATATACCTTAACAGATGCCCACGACTCAATAGCAGCTCTAACTGTTCATTCTACGTGCGCTTGACTGGCCGGATCGCGGATTGTGCGTACGATAAGGGTGCGCAGGAAAGGCAGGACAACACAAGGCGTGGTCATCACAATGCACAAAGCTTCATTCTCGCGCACCAGTTCGACGTCCGCTGCCCATAGCGCAAGCAGTCGAAATGCGGTCACACAACCTCTCAAGCGAGAGCCTGACGCCAAGTCCTCGCAAGGCATCAATAAAACAGTGAGAGTGCTCGCTCCTGCCAGCCCAAAGCGCGAAGAGCGCGATAATGGTTCGTATCGTATCGTCGCGGTGCACATCACCTTCATTCGTGAGGACTTAACCTCATCGTACGCGTGCATATACCATTACAGGTTGCACAAGAATGAACGACGCGATCAAAGATGGTATCGGTGGGTAGTCAGACTTGCTTCACCAATTGTTTTTCTTTACATGTGTAAACTTTGCTGACTCGCTCGCCCTGTGCATGATATACCCCAGCCGCCATGACACGTTCAGCCTCTGAGGCTCAACTCATGGCAGCGCGATACCAAGCGGCTGGCCGCAGCGCGAAAAGAGAGGCGGCTGGAACGGCTCAGGAAAACGAGAGGATCTACGATGATACAGATGCACGTGAAGCCCGCTTCGACGCTCAACCATCTGGCTCCTCTTCCTTACTCTCGCGTATTTCTGTCGCACGACGCAGGCGCCCAGACGATGACCCTTCCGAGAACGCTGATCCAGATACAGCCGCCGAAAATGGATATGCGGCGCGCGAATGCAAGCGTAACGGAAAGCACACGTCGGCATTCACGCGCGACGAACAGATGCGCATCAACGAAATGGTCCCGCTTGGCCCGACCGAATTCAACGCGCCAGATGACGATCCCACGTGGGAAAAGGTGGAGCCATACAGCAACATCGCACTGAAGCGTCGCTACTTTGCGCACGATGCCATGCATCTGCTCTATAAGGACCGAAGGCAGGTGCAGACCTCTATGCTCTACTCGATCGCCCGCCTGCGCCCTCACACGGGCTGGCACGGCCGCTTCGCTGCAGATGGGGCGTACGAACTGCCGTTTGGGAATGAAGAGTGGGTGCTGATTACCGTCATCATCGGCAAGTCGGCCATCCAGCTGTCGCGCAAGTTGTCGAAGGAGGTGCGCGAGGAAAAGGTGGACGACCGGCTGGAGCTGCACGGCCAGCAGACCAAATCTTACGCTCGGCAAGGCCAGCGTAAGTTTTTCCTCGCTTCGCTGATGGACCTCCGGCGTGCAGGCGGCTATCGGCGCGGCATGGGGCCGGGTGGAGACGACGAGCTGGAAATGCTGCTGCTCGAAAGCGACACGCGCATCGATAAGGACCTTGCCCGCGTCAAACGCGAGAGCGGGCTCGAGCTCGAAGGCCATGTGGGCGACTCGCTGCAAAAGACCAAGTACGACAGCTTTGCCGGCGGCAGCGGTGGCGCATTTGAGAAGCTGCATAAGGAGCCCGAGGGCACGGTCATCGCGATTGTCAACCCGCGGATCCTACCGCAGCGCGAAACCCACCGCTGGGGCGGCAAGGATTCCAAGATGCTCACTGTCACGCCACGCTCGGCCAGCTCGGTGATCATCATTGGCAAAGCGGAGGATTTCGCAACGTGCGAGGCGACCAAGCGTAACGGCGAAAGGTGTAGCGCATTCGTGGATGTGCGCGTACGCTCTTCGCGAGACGGCAAAGCCGGTGCCGGATCCATCTGCATGTTCCATCAAGAGCGAGCCATCGAGCGCGGCCGCACGCACCGTCCCGAGTTTGCGTCGGCCGGCCCGACCAGCAGCAGCGGCCCGGGCGAAAGAGGCGGTTCGCGCTGGATGAAGCGAGGACGCGACGGAGGTGGCTTCAATGGCGGTGGTGAGGCGCCCCCGAAGGGCTTCACAGGCATGGGCATCGCCGAGGACGGTATTTCTGGCACCGGAACGGGCGCCACGTACACCGTCGGTGGGCGCAACGACGGCGACTTGAACGACGAGACCAATATTCTATACGACGTCAACGTTCAGCTCGGACGCAAGAGAGAGGAGCGGGAGCAGATGCTGAAGAAGCGCAAGCGGCAGGAGATGATCGTCGCCGAGCTGGACCGCGCGCCGCAGCACAGGCTCTCCCGTGAGACGGATGCTCGGCTCCAGGCGCTCAAGCTGCAAGGCAGGAACGAAAAGGAGCTGGACAACTGCCATCTGTGGCGCACGCAGAAACGCAGCGACGCTGCCGCATACATCATGCAGCGCGCCGAGCGCGCACTACAAGCACAGATGCAGCAGGCCCAAAAGGCAAAGAGCGGCCGCAGAGGCAGGCTGGTGCTCGACCATTGCAGCGTTACCCTCAACAGTGACGAGGAGAATCGTCAGAATCCGATGCAGGAGACATCGGCAGGCAGCACCAGAGGCCCCCGCTATCGCTACAGCGCCGAAGCCATCAAGAAGATAGGCTTTAACCCGCTCACGGACGCATACGGAAAGCTTGCAAGCGGCGATGAAGGAGGGGAGGCGCACGATAACGACATTAGAGAGCGTCTCCTTGCGCGTGGCAGCGTGGATAGCCAGACGCTTGCCGAGCCAAAACTGCGGATAAAGGGCGCGCCGAAATGGCGGAACGTCAAGGCTCCGCTCGGTGCTACCCAAACGGGTCAGCAAAAGGCATACGATGAGATGTACGGAGTCGACGTCGGCGCCTTCTCGGATTACAGTCTGTCAGATCTGGACAGCGGGGACGACGATGTGTTCTGAAAGGTAGAAACTGCTGTACGTAGTTTGCATTCATCAGAGGGAATCGCGTGTGCTAGTGGGCAGCGAGGACTATGACAACGCTTAACCTAGCAGACGGCGAAGTGAAACGACCCATGTGTCAGCGAGTGAGAGGCGAAAGTTGTGGAATACTAGCAGCCAGGTGCCGCAACCCACCATCCATCGGCGCTGGTAAAGGTCGAGCCCAGCCAACTGATTTCGCTTTCGAGCGGGACGACGATGCCATGTACGACCGGATATGCCAGGTTTGGCGATGCGATCGTCCCGAGCCGGAAAGCAGGTGGCGGGGGGAAGAGGAGGGGAAAGAGCGCGCTGAGCGTCGACTGAAGCGTCGCGGGTCGCCCGTCTTCGAGCAGCGGCGCGACGGGCTCCTGCACGAGAGGCGCGTTGTCCGGGAGGTGAAAGCGTATCGGCACAGCACGTGCTGCGTTCGCGTCTTTATTCGCGTTTGTGGTGAGGCCTGCATTTGCGCCAGCTGGACCTGTTGCGGAAGGAACCTCGCTAGGTGCATTGCTGGCTAAGCTGGGCGCGAGGCTCGTTTGACTTTCGTTCGCGTGGTTTGTGAGGAATGCGCGATCCTCCAGGCCTGCACCGCCGAGCAGGGACGGCGCGCGGGAAGATTGCCGGGATATGGGAGGCGCAACGCTCGACGGTGGCGGCACAAGCTTGGCAGCGACCGACCAGTACTTGTCGAAATCCTCTGCAAGAAGGCAAGATGAGCATTAGGATGGCCTTTCGCTACGCTCGCATGCGAGATGCTAGCGCTGCTCACGCTCTATCACTCCGTCCCACAGGGCATCCTGCTCCTGCCGCCGCAGGTTCACGACGCGCTTGGTGTTGCCGAAGCGCACAAAGTCAGCTTCCTTAATCCGGCTCATGAAGCTCGCCCGGCAGCCGTCTAAGCCACAGGATGAGTAGAGCTTGTCCATCGGCGGCTCGCGAATGTGCAGCTTGATCCGCCATGGCAGGTTTGCGTAGCTGGAAGGCCCCGCACGCGGCCCACAGTCATCGTCCAGTGAAGACGCCGCGGGGGGCACATGTCGTGTCCGATCAGAAGAGCCCAAAAAGCAGTCGTAAAGCAAGCCGATGGGCCAGTGCCTGAAATCGGGGTTACGGACAGCGCACGTCATTGTGAGTCAGCCTTCTCCATTTACTTGAGTGGTTGGTTAAAAGCCAGTTCGCGCGGAGCGCCAAGGAGGAAAGACGTACCACTTAAGCGGCATACCTTCACACTCGAACCAAAAATCCTTTTCGGAGAGCTTGGAGAGCGCTGATGGCTCTATGACCTGGTCGACCAGATACTTGCGGACGTCAGCCAACAACAGAGTAAGGTACGACACGCGCGGTGCGGCCGTCTAGCGGGTAGAAGCGGGAGGGGGTTTATAACATCAGAACGAGCCTGCAAAATAGAAATGGGAGAAACTACCGGTCACCATCTCACGTAGTACGTGTCCAAGGTGACGTCCGAGCCTGGCGGCAGCTGCGAAATGTCGAACGTGACGGCGACGGGGATGCGCGAATCCCAGACCGAGCGTCGGAAGAGCAACGCTTCGGGTGAGACGCTCATTGTGGACGGGTTGTTTCTGCGACGAGCCGGTCAGCAACGTGCTACCGGGTCCCTCGTCTGTGCCTTCGACAGTGTGCTGCTCACCAAGGCCCCAATTGCTGCGCCGAGCGTTGCCTCTCGAATCCATCGAGGTAAGGAGAGCCCAGATGCACATGGAGGTAACGTATTATATTCAACTTGTGTGGATCTCGGTGCAGCGGAACGACAGAGCGAGACAAAGACAACACACAGGTGCATTGCTCTCTCCACCTCTTCAATCTTCATCACCGTCTGCGACGCTCCTCCTTCGAGTCGATCACTGCCTTTTCAGGATGCTTATCAAACAGCCGACTAAAGCGTGAGCTTCTATGGTTCTGAACCGGCCCTTCATCTCACACTCGCTTACGCATGCAGCCCAGTGCGAGTGCGAGGCGCTTGGAGAAGGACCCTAGCGATTGCCGCTCGGAGAGGCGGAAAGAATGTATTTGTTCAAGATCATAGCTAGCCAGTCTCCAGATCGCAGCAACGACGAATGAGAAAGAGACTGAGACAGACTTGCCACAAGTGTGGCCAATCGATACATGTAATGGGCTACTGAATGTCCCCTCCAACTTCCACATCTTCCCAATATAAGCTAGCACCTGCGGGGTCGTCCTCCTGTGCATGTGCACCACCAACGGAGATTCGTAGTAGCTGCGGGCATCCCTTGACGTCGCACTCTCTCTTGTGCGGTCTGCTGCTGCTTGGAATAGGCGCCAGAATGTGTCAGCTGCCGACATACAGCCTTTGTATTCCCAGCTAGCTCTAGCGGTGTCGCAGCTTCGAGTGGGCCTATACCAACCAGGTCTAGGCGGGTGCTACGTCGCGCCCGAACATCTTCTCGGCCTCGGTGCCGACTTTCTTGACCTGATTGACAGTGGGGTCGGAGCTGAGGATGTTTTCGAGCGCCGTGCTCTGGCCTTTGTCCTTGCCAGTCAGGTCGATGCCGAAGAGCTTGCCGTTCTTGACGACCAGCGGTTGTGGCTGTGGTTGCGGTGCCGGCGCTGGGTCTGGGATCGGCGCCGCGGAGACCAATACAGCGATGAGCAGCGTGGCCATCACGGCCAGGAGAGAGGATGCACGAAGATGAGCGAGCCTCATAATGAGATGAGGTTTTTGGTCCTTGTTAAGCTATCCTCTGTGGGAAAGCGGCGATAAAGGGCTTGATGGGTGGGATGAAAGGATGCAACGGACTCGCCGATGATCTTGCGTTCGTGGATGAGCCACGGAGATTGCAACAGCGCAGAACTCGAAGCGAACCGTCCGGCGGTTCTGCTTGATGCTTTTTCTATTGAAGGGACGATGGAGAAGGGATGTAAGGATGGGCGAGGGCTGGGGATGGAGAAGGGAGAGGATGGGAAGAGTGAGGGTCGCCTGGAGCTTTGACTTTTAAGAATACACGCCGGTGCAGGAGCCACGAAGAGCGCTTGTTCAGCGTAGACCGCTGTAGCCCAGCCTCAGGGCTATGTGCACTTTTACCTTTTAACGTATCAACTTTGGAACTGGCGCTCCAGTGGAGGGCAGCACCGACATGACCCCGGCGGATCTGCAGGCGCCTCGCACTGCATCACACATAGACCCATTGTAAAAGAGATGGTCAACTTTGGCCGCGTTGGTTTACGGCCAGGGTGCTAAGTAGGCCATTCTCAATATGCCATCAGCGCATCACCACTACTGCAGCAGGATCCAAACCGAATAGGTGTGGATCGGAGTTGTGGTGTGCGAGCTGGCCACTGCCGTCCACTGTGTACACCCTGTCACCACTCGACTGTCTCCTTACCTCGGGCTGCAACACGCGAGTCAAGTGGCGCCTCAGTGTGGAGTGCAATGGTGGCACTTTCAGATAGCCGACTCGGAGACCCCGGGTTATTTGTTACTTCTCTTATGACCTTATCGCTCTGCCGTTTTGGGAGGGGGGGGCAGCAGTCCATATGTACAACCCTTTTATTTGGACTTGGGTCATTACGTGCCTCACGCGACGGCTGGTGACAAAGTCCGGTCGGCCCGCACCCCTGCTAGCCGCGCCGCAGGTTCGTCGAACACATTTGACAATTTTGGTCAATATTGACCTTGAGTATAGAACTTCGAGCAAATCAGTCTAGATCCAGGTGGATCCGCTTACCAAATTTGAGGTGGTTAATAGTTTTGGGACAAATCTGGGGTCCGACACCTCCCAAAGAACTTTTTAACTCACATCTAGTGAGCGACAGCGGGGCGACTGTGTGTGCTCGAGACGAGAGTGTGGTTGAGCAAAAAGGTCGAAACGCATTCCTGCCGCTCGCCTCCTCCATTGACCACACAGACGATACCAAATGACGTCCTGTGATCCCGCTGTCGCGACACCCTTGACCTGCATCTACCTACATTACGCGAACCCCGCGAGCACCTGAGCAGGCATGAGCGCTGAAGCCCCGCGCTGGCCTTCGCCCGTGAGGACGACCACCCATGTACGGGGTAGAAACGGGGCGATGAGGATCACGGCGGTCCCCGGCCTTGATTCCTTTGAAAGTATATTGCAATGTTCACAGCATATTACACATTCTTTAAGCCAAATCACGTCTTGCATACTAGCATACCGGCCACGAAACTCAGCCTTCATCATTGGCGGTGAGATTGATGATGAAGCGAACCACATAACCCGTCCCTGTCTATTTGTTGTGGGCCCACGCCGCCTTTTCTTCGCGAGTGACGCGCGGATGATGTCCTCACTCTTGGCCTTGAGTGTGTGGAGGTCGTCGATTGCAGTGGCCGGTATCTGACACGCATCATCCTTACCGAGGACCACGTCCATCGTGTTCACTAGTCGCTCGACCATCCTCAGAGATGAAATGACAGTCATCTTCATTCCAGGCATTGATCCCCTACATCTCGTTACAGATGGCGCATTGTGGGCATTAAACACGCATCTCGACTGGGATTCCGACGCGTATGTCTGAGCTCCAGGTCGAAGGATTTGAGTATCTTGCTCGGAGCGAGATGTGTTTGACGCTCGCGCTCGTCTATCATTTGCTTACACATGTGTCCTTGCTGGGCTTCCAGGTGCGTTGAAGATTTTGCGACAAACCCACTTCCAAAACCCCTGAACTTTAGGGACAAAGCGCTGAACACTCTACAAACCCCAGGACATTTGGGTGGGTTGTCCGGGGGGTCACTGAGTGGACAGGGCACGGGCACGGCACCGGTCACAGAGGTGTGCGCGCTGCTACAGGGAGTATCGACAGATCGTCTCATTCCTGGAAACCGGCAACCAGATAGACCCGACCCACATCAAAGTAGCCGCCATCCTGGACTCAGATGATCACCGATCAAACGTCTCATACTTGCTACAGTATCAATGAGACTCACTCCTTTTTTGATGGTGGATGTCTGGTTTCAGCCTCCGGTCTCATCATCTCTTCCTCCCAGCCTGAAGTAATGGCAGCCGGGTCCAGCTCTCTCAGTGCTACTGTGTGACACCATCGTGCCTGGGACGTACGCACGAGCGGCGATAGTCAATAACAAAGCATCGCTGCTTGGTCAGTGTCACCTGTGCACTGCTCTCGGTTATAGTCATCGTCGAAGATCACGCATATCAACGAAATATCATCATCCTTAGTGAATCGCATGACCTTCGAGTGAGCCGCTCTTCAAAGTTCTCGCAGTGATGACAATCACAACATTGGCCATAGGCGCGTCGATCACACCCATCGTGATCAAGGTGCGTAATGGTATCTCTGTATGTTTCTCCGTGTCCCTGCGCTCAGCTTTGCTGATGCGACGGCTTCGTGCTTCTTGCACACCCGGTAGACTTTCTTCAAGCACTACCTTGAACAAGCGCGAAAATCAAGGGAGGACAGACACACCGAAGCGTCCGATGAGATTCTCTTCCGCGAGTGGGTTCGCGATCACTCCTCCTGCGTTGTGAGAAGATTGAGGTTAGAATGAAGTCCCTGACATCTTTGCGCGCAATTGGACTCGCATTGTGAGCCACAGAACCTTCGCCATCGTGCGTAAATTCTGCCAAATTGCAACACACGACACGGTCGACTCGCTGCAGTCCTTTACTAATACGCACGTCCCCAGTCCGCCGTCGGCAACGGTGATCGGTGTGCTTATCCCCTTGTCCTCCTGCGACAACGCTGCGCGCATCCTGATTGAGTACTTTGGCCCGGACGACCTGCAAAATGTCGTCGGCGGCGAAAAGTGGTGGCAGGTCCGCAGCCTCGCGGGCATCGAGGCGGAGTGGATCGCGCAGACGAGCGACTGGAATTTGGGCAAGCATGTCGAAAGGGAGATGGCGAGGGAGGAGCAAAAGTACCAAGGTACAGGCAATGGTACCGCTACTGCTATTGGAGGTGAAGGCGGAGGAGCGAGGCCACAAGGCAAGCCTGATTTGCAGGCGGCGGCGCAGAGGGCAAGGTGGAGCGAGAAATCGAAACACACCAAGCGGCACAATGCCAAGATGTCCAAGCGTGCCGGCAACTGGAAAGACCACACTGTCGGCCGCATTGTGCGCGTTGTGCACAATAATCGCGATGGTGCTGCTGCTGCTCAAGCGAAGCAGGAAGGCGGGAAAGATGCTCAAGGCTGCGATTCTGGACCAGCGTGGGAGGAGGTCGATCTCGATGGCAACGAATTTGACGAGAATGCTTTCGCGGCCTTCGAGAATCTCGATCGGCTGAAAAGGGTCTTGCTATATTGCCATGGTGGCGCATACTAGTCAGTACCAACGCCACATTGCCTTTCGCGAGGCAGCCTAAAACATCTGTTTGCTGACCAAAAAGCCTTCACATCGTTTACCTTTATACAGCTGGGGGTCCATCAATACGCACAGGTATCAGATCATCCGATACGCCAGAAAGTTCGGAGGCAGAGCTTTTGCAGTCAATTATCGAAAGGCACCGAACGTGAGCTGCGGATGCAAATGACAGCGTTACCTCTCAATCGCGGAATGGGTTCACGCTGATGCCCACTTCCTTGGAGCAGTATCCCTGGCCATGCCCGCTGCACGACCTGCTTGCCGCGTACCTCTACCTGATCCGCCCTCCACCCGAGGCGAAGCACAAAGCCGTCGACCCGGCTCACCTCGTCCTCGCGGGCGACAGCGCTGGCGGTGGCATGTCGCTCGCGCTCCTGACGCTGCTGCGCGACATGGACCTGCCCATGCCCGCCGGCGCCGTGCTCATCTCGCCCTGGTGCGACATGACGCACAGCTTCCCGTCCATCTTGCAGAACATTGACACGGATATCATCCCGCCGTACGGGTTCATCCACAAGCCCTCGACCCTCTGGCCTGTATTCAGCACAGCCCCAGAGGCAACCGCAGAAGACAACACCGGCGGCGATGGGAGCAAGAAAGCAGACCCACCGCCTGTCAAGGGTCAACAAGACGTCTCGCAAACAATATGTGCTGCTTTGAGTAGCACCGAGAACAGTCACGCTGTCAATCACGATCGAAGCAAGAAGTGGGACATCCCCGGCGAGGCAGCAGAGGATGTGGCGATGCCATCCACCCCCAAGTTCCTCTACTCTGATCCAATCGAGATACGGGTGACGGACCCCGAGCACAAAAAGGAATGGGGAGACAAGATCGTCGTCAAGGGCCAGATTCAGCAGTATGCTACCAACGCTCAGCTCGGGCACCCGCTCTGCTCGCCTATTCTTCACGGCAGCCTCGGTGGACTGCCACCACTGTACATCCTCGCTGGCAATGGCGAGGTGTTGAGGGATGAGATCATCTGTACGTCCATACGAACAGTAGCTCGATCGATCTGCTGCGGAATATGACTATTGAAGCTGCTGACCTCCTCTTTCCTCCTCCATTGACAATGCAAACGTGATACAGACCTCGCGCACCGCGCAGCTCGACCTATGGAGTACCCTCTTTCAGAATACCATCTGCAGCGACGGCCGCGTTCCCGCGATAGCATGAAGAAGTACGACAGCAAGCCGACGAAAGTGCATTTCCAGCTGTTCGACGAGATGTGCCACGTGCTCACCGTCTTCTCATTCACGACGCAAGCCAAGTACGCGTACCGGGCCATCTCGTCGTTCGTAAAGCACGTCACCGGCGCCCCGACCAGCTATATTGATCCTTTCCCGGACTTCCATCAGGATCAGCGATTGAAAGTCATGCGGAGCGAGACGCATTCGTCCAGCTTGAATCTCTCGGTGGACGCAATAACGTTGACGAACGACAGCACAGCCTCAGCGCAGCCGGGCCAGCAAGAGGAGGGGGCGGGCTCGTCCAGCTCGGCTGGCCTCATGCACGTGCTGGCGCAGCTGCATATCTCCGACATTGCTTCCGACGCTGTTATTGGAGGCTCATGCACGGCTGATTCACCGACCACCATGACACCGGTCACGCCACTGACGCCGAACCGCACCCCTAGTCCTCGCATTGCCAGCGCCGAGCCGCACGATGTAGAGGCTGCGGACGACATCAAGCTCACAGCGCACCAGTTCGAGCAGAAACGCAAGGCCACACTGCGAGAGGGGAAACGCCGTCTCGTATCGTTGGGCGTGCAGAACGAGTACTCTGGAGCAGTCCCGCTTCTACGGCCTTCCTTCCAGGAGTACATGATCCGGGAGAGGGTGGACATCAGAGGTAAGATCCGCCCGATGGAGCCTGAAGAGCACTTTGCTGCGCTCCAGCTTCCCCCTGATGAAATCGGAATCATCAAAGAGGGTCCTGCTGTCCGGTGAGTGAAGATCACGCTGCCCGTGCCCAGCAGTTGCGAACTAACACAGGATACGCATCACGGGCAGGTACATGACCGGGCAGAGGCTTTGGGCGAAAAAGTTCAAATCTGAAGCTAAACGCGTTGCGAAACGCAAGGCGCAGAACGAAGCCAAGGCACTGTGCATCCTCCGTCGCGCAGCCCAGCGTGGGCTCCTGAACACGCCCAACCACGGAGTTGCAAAGTACACCACCGCGGGCCGCACGGTCACATGGACGACCGGCATGCGCTACGGGCCGATGGACCTGTCCGACGAGACACCGCCGCCCAGCGCGATCGCCGGCCGTCGCGATACGGAAGACGCGCTGGCGCTCCTGCAGACCAGCTTGCGCGCCCGCGCCAAGCTCGGCGGCACCACGCCCACAGGCTCCACGGGAGCGCCAAAGCAGAGCGGCGCCGAGAAGGAGCACCGCAAGAGACCAGCCGGCGGCGGCATTAGGCTGTGGACCTCGGCGATGAATACGCTCCACCGGAAAAAGGTGCACGTTGACCCAATGTCGGAACGTCAGGAAGACGAAGGGATGAGGAAGCTGGGAGAACGAGGGCGCCGCTCACGGAGAGAGCGACTGAAAAATCGTTGCGTTGAGGAAACGGATCTGCGACGGACAGCTGATCAAGTAAACCATGGAGGAGTAAAGTAATTTGCCATTCTACACTACAACATGCAATCCTAACGATCGATAATCTCTGTCTAACCATGTGCCGTCTCAGTTTGCTTGTACTTGTCCTCCCAGATGCACGCGAGCGCCGTCGCGCCTCCCCGCGCAGGGTCGTGGATGAAGACATGCCTGGCAAAGTGCACATTGAACTTTGCGAGTTCCTGGATCAGCAGGTGCTGGTACCGCTCGACGCCGAACAGGCTGCCGCCCATGCACAGCACGCTCTCGTCGGTGGACAGATGGCAGTGCGACGGCCCGTCGGGTCGGACAACGTCGAGGATCTGCAGCGCGATCTGCCGCGCCTGCGAACGAAGAATCTCGAGCGAGAGCGCATCGTCACGGTTGAAGGCGAGGTGGAACACGATGGGCGCCAGTGAGGCCAAGCGGTGCTTGCGCGCTTGAAACGAATCCGACCACTCGTCGTGCGCATGTAGATCTTCCGCCTGCGCTTGTGAATGGGCAGAACCATTGGACAATGTGTGCTTGTGATTCTGCTGCTGCTGCGCACGCTCGCCGGTAGCCGCCAGGTCCATGTTCTTCGCATCGTCGCTGGAGCCCGCCTGGCCGTGCCCGCGGCCGTAGTGCCGACGACGCAGCGTCAGGCGGCGGGTCGTGCTCGTAGGGGTTAAGGATACATCTTTCGCATGCCCATTGGTCGTCGTCGTGGTGACGCTGGAACTGGTTATGTCGGCTGCTATGCCCGAGGACCCCAGGCGCGTACTTGGCAATTGTTGCTGTCCATGCGCGGTCGCGAGCGCGTCTGCCCTTGCCCTTGCAGCGGCCGTGCCAGTACCGACGATGGCTGCTCCAGCGAGCACGTTGGATATGTTCGCATCATCATCATGGTCATGGTCATCGACGAGCCCATCGCCGAGCTCAGCTCTGGCATCACCAGCACCGCTGGTACCCTCGCTGCTGCTCGCCTCGCTTTCGCTACTGCTCACCGGCGTGGCAGGCCGGGACGTGCTGAGCGGCGGGACGGGCGAGTGCATGCGCTCGAGCTCCAGATCGACGCCTGGCGCATCGGGCGGGAGTAGCATCTTGGATGACAGGCGCTCGGATAGGTCCAGCTTGATGTGTTCGGGTGCCTTGGCGCGGATCAGCTGCGCAGAGTCTTTCGTTGGGAACAGGCGGACCTGTTCGCAAGCTGTGTCGTGTCCTTGCCCTGCTCCTCCATTTCCTCCCGGAATGGCAATCGGCACGGACCCTGCCGGTACATCAGGTTCGGCAGTGCCTTTGGCCTTGCCGCCTATATCGTTGTCGTCGGCACCCTCCGCGTCTCCTAGCGGCGGAGCCTTGGCTGTCGCAACGGGGCTGTTCACACCCCGGGGGGCCGCCTGCGTGACCCTGGTGGCGAGCTGGGGTGACGCGGCGCTGTACACGGCGTTAAAAAGACCGTCGGTGCTCAGCAGGCCCCACGCCTGTAAGATGCGATCGCGCAGCGCATGCGACATGTCTGCGAGCTTGAGGCTGCGCTCGGGGATGTTGAGCGATGCCGTCGTCGCAGATGACGTGCTCGGGTAGGACGCGCTGAACGTCGAGCTTCCGTTGGCCGCGAGCCCCAGACGCTTGGCTGCTGGTCCTGGTGCTGCGGTGGCGGTGGGGGATGATGAAGAAGGAGCTTGCTGCTGTTGCTGCGGCTGTGGTTGCAGGCCGGGCGCCTTTTCGTGCCACGACGCGTGCATGGCGTAATCACGCTGTATGCGCTCGCGATCGGCCTGTTCGAGCACCTTGCGTACGGCGTCTCGTCCGACGGCGTAGCCACTACCCTCGTCGCCAAGGAGCCAGCCAAAGCCGCCGGCGCGGCCGATGGTACGCAGGCCGCCGCCCTGCTGGTCTGGGCGGTAACTCATGACGATGCTGCCGGTGCCCGCGATAGTGACGACGCCCGTGCGGGTACCCGGGAACGCGGCGTCGTGCACTGGTGCCGCGAGCAGAGACGTGTCATTTGCAACGATGAGCCGCGGTGATGGGTGCGGCAGCGATAGGAGTGATGCCAGGTGAGGGGACAGGCGCATGACGTCCGCGGGCGAGTCGACGCCCGCGATGCCGAACCACGCCGCCTCGAAGATTAGCGGGGGTGGCGGCGGCGGTCGCGCGTGCCGCTGCTGCTGCTGTGAGCTGAACAGGACTGAGTTGGAAATGGGCAACGAGAAACGCGGGGCGCCGGAACCCTCGTCATCGAAAGAGGACGGCTCGGGGGCCGCGTGCCCGTCGCCGACGCTGTTGCAGGCGCCGGTCCCGCCATCATGAACGTAGGTGCCGCTGCCCGTCGACGCGGTGTAACGATGTCGGCGCCACGCTTTGCTCTGCGCGCTCCACTGCATCGCCTTGTCCCTGACGATGGCCGCCTCGTCATCGGGCGACTGGGCGGTGCGTGTGTATGCGTGTGCGGCGACGGCGGACATGGCCGCGTCGACGGTGTTGCGGACGCTGCGGAGGAAGTTGCCGAGACCGACGTCGGTGTAGTTGGCTGCGCCGCCGAGGCCGCGGCCGAGGATGACACCGCGGCCGTCCGCAACGGCTGCAGCTGTCTTGGACCCACCGCAGTCGACTGAGAGGTAGAGGCGCGATGAGGCGGAGGGCATGGGTATGGGCACGGGCACGGGAGAGCCTGGGCGGCTCGTGGATGCCGTCATTGTGGTTGATCTGGGGTCTCGTCGGCTGCAAGTAGCCAGGCTCGTGTCCTCTCACTAAAGAAGAAGACTCGCAGGAGTGGGGAGAGGGGGGCTTGCTTGCACAAAAAACGGTCGTCATGTGTGGAACCCTGTCAGCCCTGCCCATCTTTTCTCAGCTCGGCTTCAGAGGCGAACCCACCTGGAGTGCATCTCTCGAGGCCTACCCGCGACGAGACGAGTTGCCGACCGACACGGCGACTACGACGGAAGAGAAGAGGGTAGACCGTCGACGTCGGCGGCGGCGGTAGCAGCGGGGGCAGGGGAGATCAGAGATGGTGGGCCCCGGCTGAGATGCGAGCATTGCCCATCGAGCGTGTCGAGGACAAAGGAGAGCCACTCTATGAGAGGTGGTGGTGTGGAGACTGCATTCTCCCATCTGCTCGCGCGATTTCTTTTTAAACCCCGGGAAAAGAAATAAAAACACAAGGCAGACAATCCGTCCCTGAAACCTGCAAGACGACTCCCATTACCACAGCAGCACAGCACCACAGCTGCCTGCGCCATGCAGGCGCATGCACGTATGGCGCGGGAGCCGAGGGCAATCGCCGGTTTCCGCCAGACCAGCGACCCCACATGCATATGTACAAGTGGTGCGAGCTGCCATTCAAAGGTCTATTCCGCAGCAATGGATACATTCGGAATGATAATACCCTGCCCTCGTCCATGTGGAGCTGAGCACCTCTCGCTTTCGAGATGACGCCCGTCCAGCATTCCCCTCCCTCGCAGCGGTTGCTTTGCGCTTGGGCCCGGCAGCAAGCAGACACGTACGCAAGCATGCATCAGTGATGCCCTATGAAAACGACATGCGTATTATCACTTTTACCATTCTAGTAGTAGCCTATCACCAGGTCATACGTGCGCTTGGATGCTCAGCACGCACCAGTCTTGTCGATGTGCGCCGTACTACACTTTGCTTTTGCCCTCGACAATCCTGAGCTGCTGCGTACCGACCCACTGGTAAGGGGGAGACGACCACACATTACCTCTTGTCAGCTTCCACGATGCAAGGGTCAGAGAGAGAAAAAGAGAGAGATGTGCACTTCCACGCACCTCTTGACCCGCTGGCAGCTCGTTCAGCGCAGCCACGCTCCCAGGCTCGATGCAGATGTACTCCCTCCACCCGCCCTCGTGCAGATCCTTGAGTCCTTTCGCGGCTGCTTCCGCCGGGTTCCAAAGAGTCGTGTCCTGAAGGGTTTCGCTCCTGCTCACGACGAGCTGCCGGCCACTACCGTCGTTGTACAGCAGTGCCACATCCGGCGCACCACCCTGATACACCCGGTCAGACGCCTGCCCGTGCAGCAAGATGGGGTCGCTCGACTCGGCGACGCGCGCCTTGGACGCGTTCTTGTCCACATAGGTAACCCCCTTGAGTCCAGACACGCCCGCTTGCGTCGCATCACCAACTGCAATATAGTTGTGCAGCAACACATGGAAGCGTGCGGGCATCGTGGAAGAGCCGGCGAGGTGCTTGACTTTCAGGCTGCACTCGAGCGACGCAGGGGAGTCCGAAAGGCGACTGTGTCAAAGGTGCGAGTCGACCATCAGCCAAGAGCGCCAGCGCTTAAGATGCTCGATTCACCTCGGAACGCACATGTGGTATTCGAGATGAACAGGCCATTGGTAGGCGTCCCGAATCTCCTTGTAATCTACCGAGTTGAGCTCTACAATGACCCGAGTGTAAGCTCGTTGATTTCAACGCCAGCCCCCTTGGCACCTTCCCCGACGTTATCCACTCACCCAGCACACACGAAGCAGTGACTTCCTTGTCCACACGCCCTTCGATGACCTTCCACTCTGCCGTCCTCGCGAATCCGTGCTTCGGCAGCTTCTCCAGCCCCGCGTGGTCCTCATACTCGCTCGGGCTGCCAAAGACGGGAAAGATGATCGGGATGCCACCGCGGATGGCGGCCGAGCCGTCGAGCGGAGATTGGCGGGAGAGGAAGAGCTGCTCAGCGCCGTCGTACTTCCATGAGATCACCGTCGCGCCATACTGAAGCACCTCGACGGACGACCGGCCCGAAGGTGTCGTGAGCGTCACTTTGCCGACTTGCTCGTCGCGCGACATTTTTTTGGCCGAAGTAGAGAGGCTAACTCAGTCGTCTTGTTTGGCTATTACGCGCACTACTCAAAAAACATGGCCAACCTTGTAAAAACCCAAGGTGCATTGAGGGTGTTCCACGAATCAAACAAAAGATCAATAGCCCATCATGCACAGACAAGAGGCCCTGGGCATGAAGGCGAGGTGAATATAATGAAAGTGCACACAAGTGCGCCAATGCGTTTTGAGCAAAAAACATACCTCAAGCAAAAAGATTTCCCCGACCGGGAATCGAACCCGGACCTTGTCGGACAATTTGCTTAGCTACTAAATGGATTAGAAGGCAACTTGAGAGCGACATATCATAACCA